AATCTCTCACGTAGCATACAATGCGGCGCTCTCTTTGTGGGTCTGTACACTAATTAAGTATACAAAAGTAGAAAATAGCAAGGAAATATAGTAGAGGAATAATAAAAAACAGAAAAATAAAAAAACAACTTTGTACAAATGACTCAACAATGCTGGGGCTATTCATGATAGCTGCCCCAGACCGTGGCGAGCAGCAACAGCAGCTCCTTATGTTTTTGTGCCTTTGTTTTGTGCAACTGGAATTAAAATCAAGCACTTCGGAGCACACAACGTGCATAAGGAGCTGGCCGGGCGGGCAGTGTGGGGGGCAGCTGCTGGCTAGCTTGTTGTTGTTTTTGGCCAAGCCAGAAATGTACTTCAAAAATCGTAAAATTGAAATTATAATTGCAACTGCAACTGATTCGAAAGGCGCTTTGTTTTTTCACCATTGTTGCCAGGGCATACTCGAGGGTGGCCCGAGGGTGGCCCGGTTGGGCCAACAATTCTATATAAGTGGGCTGTTATTTTCACGTTCGCCGGGCAGCTCCGGCTGCAATCGACGCACAACGTCAGCTATTTGTTGTCTGTTGTCTGCCAAAAAGATGGCTCTAATTACGGTCTTAACTTGCTGAATACTTAGAATGCTTGTCAAATAATAATTACTCGAAAAGCGTTTGACAGTTATAAAATGAAATACGCGCGCGTCTTCAAGTTGTTACAGTTTTTCCTTTCTCTACTGAATGCTGCTAGCCCAGGCTTAAATGTGCTTTTTGGCTTTGGTAACTCTGTATATATTTCTGGCTACTCAGTTCATGTTCCGATTAACAAACCAAACTGAACATGAACTGTGACGCCACAGCACAGTGGGCGCTCTTCCTGGTCCTCTTTCTCTCTCTGTCTCTCTCTCTCTCTAAGCCCGAATCCTTGCCAAGTGCATGTGGCATGCCGGATGTTGTGACATTTTGGAAAGCGCACAAAAATTTCGACATTTACACAAAGCGATGCTCGGGAATGCGCGCCGATAGCACTTTCTATATGTGTGTGAGTGCTTGCCCCATATTTGTTGCGGTTGTTTTAGTTTTTCATGGTTTCCCATATTCTCTGTGCAACATTTTTGCTAAATATTCAAAAGGCTTGCCAGTTGTCAGTTCTTTTTATGCCATTGAATTTGACAATCTATATCCATCCGTTTTGTTGTACTCATGTGTGTTCAGGGAGCGAATCTGTGTTAGCTTTGTCCAGTGATACTTTATCGAACCAGCTCTGATTCGGACTTTATTTTTGTGACTTGTGACAGTGAATCAAAAACAACGAACAACGTGTACTGCACGGTAGAATAAGTATTAAGGTCTTGTGCTAAATTAATTGAAATTGAAATTTTGATTGTGAGCATTTTTTTTTACAAAATAGAATATAACTTTTCTATGTCAGGCGTTCAAGCAATACATTTACAAATTACTAGAATTGTCTCATATTTCATTGCGCGTCTTTGACATAATATTTTCGGCTAACATTTTCTTATTATAAGGTTGCATCGCTTATTTAACTATTGTTGCTAAATTTTAGAAAATCAACTTTGTTTTCAATTCGCCAATATACTAGAAAAATTTTATATTAACAGAAACGTTTTGAAAGAGAAAAATATATTAATACTAAAGTATATATATTTAAATTAGAAGTCTTAGAAAAGAAAAAATATTGAGTTACATTTATTTTTTAACAGGAAGTTTTAGAACGGAACAAAATATTTATTATTAAAATTTGTTTTTTATAAGAATCGCATATTGCGGATTTCTGATTTGCGGTGCCAAATATGAGTCTTTTACTATTGTAGTTGGAAAAAATTATATATATTAGTATTTTATTTAATTAATTAATTAAATTTATTTTAATTACATATTATTTGCTTCTAAGAGGTATTCGATTTAATTAATTCTCTAATTTTTGTAGTCAGAAAAAATTAGTTATATTTAGATTTGTTTCCATCTTGAAAACTGAAAATAAATTTTTGATACATATTAACGAGTGCTGCACTATCTGTCTCTCTTTCTCTTCCTCTTTTTCCCTCCCGCTGCATTAACGCAACTGCTGCAAGAGACTTGAATATTTGAAATTATTTTTAAGCACGAGGTAGCTGTAAATTGCACCAAAGCCAATTGCGAGTGTTGGGAAATTGTTTTGTGTACGCAGCAGAAGCAGCGGCACAGACAAGATTGGAGTGTTGCAATGCTCGTGGTATAAGGGCAATCAGGATGAGTATAAAACAGAAGCATATACCGATATACAGAGAACAGACGGATACAGAGATAGTAAAATATACTTAGGATGTTGCCCTATTGCATTGGCATAAGTCGCTGCAGTTGCAGCAGCAGCAGTAGCAACAGCAGTAGAGGCAACATGACAACAGCAACGGATTTGGATTGCTTGTGTGTGGTGGCTGCACACACACACTCGGGCCTGTGGTTAAGGGGAAGCTGCAGCAGAAGTGTTTGTTGTATGCAACTGATTGCTAAGGATTTTATGGTTGCCATTTATGCTGCTGCTGTTGCTGTTGCTGACGATGGCGACAATGCAAAAATATACACAACACAACAACAGCAACAGGAACCGATCGCAGCAGGCAAGGGGCAGCTGATGCAACGCATCCAAGTGCAGGCTAGCACTGGATGGAGGCTGGCGGTTTAAGGGAGGTGCCACTGCTTGTTGCCACATAAGGTGTCGCTGCAGTGGCAAAACATGAGCCCATGACAGCAGCAACAACAGCAGCAGCAGCATTCGAAGTAGCCGTAAAATGCCAACATCAGCATTACATGCAGAAATTGCTGCTGCGGATTTGCAGTTTAATGTCGATGCTATCGAAATGAAATCCTGGCAAGTAGACGCTTTCAGAGACGTTGTTAGCATTACGAATGTGTGTCGACCAGTGTGTGGTCTGGTGTTTTTTTTGCTGTTGTTGTTGTTGTTGCAGCAACTGTGCCACAGTTTTGATTAGCTTAGGCCAATTGCTGAGCGTTTACCACAAATGAAGCGTTTTATAAAACTTGACTATAAATGGTCAGTTAATTGCTCGAAGTGTATGCTGCATACAATTTGTATTTAACGGTAAATTAATTCCAGTTTTAGTTGGGTGCTGTTGCAGATAATTGATTCTCCTTCTCTCGTGCTCTTGTTAACATATGAGACCCAAAGCATTTATAAACATTCCCACAAAATGTACGAAATATTTGTTTTATCGGCACTTACTCGAAGTAACGGGTTCGAGACCCGAAAAGGTGGAAAATGGAGTTGCCTTGAGTCTCCCTAAAGTTAGAGACCGGGTAATTTCTTTTTGCATGTGCATATATCCTAGACAGTTCGATTTGCTGTTTGAGGTTTGAGTGTTTCCCAACTATAAATAGTAAGTATCCGTAGTTGCAGAGTTTCTTTAAACTAGCAAAAGTGTATCTAAAAGATACTTGCTTTACTTTATCTATCGATTTTTTTTTCACTTTGTAGTCAATGTCGGCAACATTCAATTGGTATTTGCATCATTTGCAGCTCAACAACTTTTAGTCACATGCTTGCAAATAAAAATAAAAACGAAAAAGAAGGGCTATCTTCGGCACGCCGAAGATCTAATACCCTTGCAGACCCAACCTTTTCGTAATGCTCATAGTGCTTTGCCTGTATCTAAGAAGTACCGGGAAAATAGTGAATGCCGAGTTTGGTCAAGATATCTTGATAACCAAAAAAAATTTTTAATCAAAAATCTAGTTTTCGACCGATCGCTCTTATGGCAGCTATATGATATAGTGGTCCGATGTTGATAGGATTTTATATATATAAAAGGAGCATAGTTAAACTAATAAATGCCGAATTGGTCAATATATCGTGAAAAACAAAAAATTTGTCCATACAACAACTAAATTTTCGATCGGTCGTTCCTATGGCAGCTATATGATATAGTCTTCCGATCTTAATAGGATTTTGCATATATATAAGGAGCATAGTAAAACTAATAAATGCCGAGTTTGGTCAAGATTTCTTGAAAAACAAAATGTTTTTCGTACAAGAATCTACTTTTCGACCGATCGTTCCTATGGCAGCTATATGATATAGTGGTCCGATCTTAATACGATTTTGCCTATATATGAGGAGTACAGTAAAACTAATAAATGCAGAGTTTGGTCAAGATATCTTGAAAAACAAAATGTTTTTTCATACAATTTAATTTTCGACCGATCGTTCTATCGCTATATGATATAGTGGTCCGATCCAGCTGGTTTTATGTGCTGCGTGCAACAGAAAAGGGATTTCTGCAGAGTTTCATTAAGATAGCCTTAAAACTGAGGGACTAGTTCGCATAGAAACAGACAGACGGACAGACGGTAAGAGGGACAGACGGACATTGCTATATCGACTCGGCTGTTGATGCTGATCAAGAATATATATACTTTATGGGGTCGGAGATGTCTCCTTCTATGCGTTACACACAAAATTATAATACCCTGCAAGGGTATAAAAATAGCGGAAAAGCAAAAGACTTCACGTGCCACAAATGAATTCCGTTTTCCCGCTGAACCCTAACAGATACAGGTATTGTTGTAGACCTAACTACCAGTGCGAGCCCTGATGTTTCTTTTATCAAACGCATTGATTTCAAAGCATTTACATTTGCCCGCACAGCGCCTGGCTGCTCGCTCGTTAACAAAAGATACTTACATATGTATGCATATGTATCTTACAGATACTTGCTGGCATTTGCCTTTGTGTTGCTTTGTCGCGTGTGCCACGTTTCAATTTTTCTCTTTCTTTTGCTTGGTTAGATTTAAATGCCGAAATTTCAATGCTGCACACATCACGACAACGACAGCCGCCCCCCAAAGGACATATGTGCCCACCCCCATCAGGTCGCTGTCGTGAATGTATCTAACTCTATGTATCGTCGACTCGCATGCGGGGCACACGTGAAAGTGTAATCACTTGTACTTAATATGCAGATGATGACAATGTGACAATCAAACTGGTTCCAGGTCGCTTACCTTGCCTTACCCCGTCTGCTACACCATTTTGCTCTTTCGCTCCTTGTGTATTTGCTGTATTCGTGGAAGATGACGTTATGACAATCTGATTATTATTATCATCGTTAGAAGTAATGCTCTACCCCCTTGCATGCAAAACGTATTTTCATGCCCTGATTTCCTACAGGCATCAATGCATTAGGCGTCTTCAACAAAGTACTTTTGAATTCTAAAAAGGCAATTTGTTTGTATTTTTCTGTTATGAGTTCTATGCTTAAGCATATTTTCCATTTCCACAGAAAACTGAAAACAAAAGATTCAATATGATTCAGACAACAATTACAATAGTTAGCTATAAATAACTTGCATAGACCGCAAAGTAAGCTAATTGACTTAAAGTTCTTGTACAATATATATAATCCATTTGCCATCTGTTCTACTAGCTCGATCTCAGTGCCTACAATAGCTTGAGCTTTATAATTTCGTATACAGCCAAATACTTTTGTTTCTCGGCTTTATGCACTTCCTCAGACATGCCATTTATATTTATAAACGCACTATGCTACTTCATAAAATGAATGATGACAGCGGAAAAAATAAAATCCCAGCCAAAAGTTGGTCATGAAAAATGAACAGCCTGCTACGTGTGTGTGTGTTTTAAGAATACAAATGGGGGAAAAATTGTTTACTTTTTTTTTTATTAAAACCTCACACACCATACACTAGCGAGGCATAAAACCGAAAAAACTGTTGATGAAACTGCAGAAACACGTTAGCACACAGCTGAGGCACCGCGACTTTTTCAGCTGGAATGCAACAGGAGGCGGCGTGTTAATGCAGAAGGGGCAACAACAACAACATCGACCCTTGACGGCAAGTGCCAAACTCGTGATGAACTGAAGCTGAAGCAGCTCTGGTCAGTGGTCCTCGAACTCGTGGGCTCGCATTCATCACGTCAAGATTTACAGGCAGCCGCACGTCTCGTTCGCCGCCTGCCAGTGGGCGCATTTTCATGTTTTCCCTTGAGCCCTTTTCTCTGGTCTCTTTTACGAGCCAGCAACAAGGACTACACCCGACAGTCTTTTTTTTTGCCTCCTCCTCCTTTTTGGCTTTAGCTCTAATGAGGCATGCTGTTGACTGTGAAACTCCGCTGCTGGTCCAATTTTTTGATTGTGCCCTGTTTGACCGTCGCTTTAAAATGTCAAGTTGTGCGAGGAGCGAAAATTGCATTTAATTGCATACGCACCGTTGAGCACAAACCAAATTACGTATACGCCAAGTCACACGCGGGCATCTAGCAAAGCCGACAGGAAAGTTGTTTTAGCTGTTTACAAATGAAAATGTGTATTGCCTTCACCCGTCCACTACGTGGATAGTTTATATTGAATTATCACAAATGTTCCCTCAACACGTTACATCAATTTTTATTACTTAATTATGTTTCTTTTATTTTATATTGTAATTACTATTATTTTTTGATTTGGTATCAAATGCTGGTTAATTAACCATTTCTGTAATTGCATAACAGATTTGTGTATATATATAAAAAGTTTTGCCTTTGACTGATTGTGTTTCATTTAAACAGTTTAAATAAAAATGTTCGTATTGGTTGCAGCAAGTTTTTTTGGTATGTTCTTATTAGGCAGGGCGCCCACATATGTTGCCATGTTTAATTGCTTTATAAACCCGCAAAGCAAGTGCTGCCTCTGCCTTAGCACCGCCGACAGACAAACACAGACAAAGAAATAAGACCACAGCGCCATTATGACATTTAGAAAAGGAGTTGAACATGAAGGCGGCAACAAGGATACACAAAAACAATTACACACACAGCCAGATATTTGAACGAAAACAAAGCTTAAGACAACAGCGCGAAAGGCAATTTTAACTTTTCTTATGTATACCTCATGGAAAAGTACTTAACGTTCTACAATATACATTTTCCAGCGAGCTCATTTCAAACACTTGTGTCTTTTGTGTAGTGCATTCCGAATGGACTGCGCATATGTTGCCTTGCGGTTCTCTAATTAGTAGAAAAAAAGTAATTTTTTTGGGCACCAATAGTCGGATATTATAATATTAAGGCACATATTTGAAAATTTCTTAGAAGTATTTGAATTTCACAACATCGCCTGGTTAAACTTCACCCTTCTTTTCCATAGTTAATAAATTTAAAAACTGATCATTTTTGCTGGATTTGAACCGGCGACTTGTTCGCTTGTTAGTGCAGTGCCAAAATACCAAAATTACACATGCGTATGAGTTCTTTCTTCCCCACATAAGGATCTAATTTTTTAATGGATATTTATGTCATTCAATGTTCGCTTGTTACTTTATTGGACAATATTTCATTATTAATTTATACAGTATTCGAAAATTAAAATTGTTAATCATTACTCAGCAGACAACATTGCCTGATTTATATATAATACCCAACAAATCTACATGAGTTCTTAGAACTCAGCGAAATTCCATCCTAACTTTGACTATTTTTATATCCAAAAAGCCCACGCATATGCTGCAATCAATATTAATAATAATGATAACGAAAGATTAATAATAAAATAATAATGAAAATAATGCTAAATACCTACTATATATAAATGAAAATTCATTAAAATTGTAGGACAAAATCAATCAAAGTTAATCTTCGCCAGGAAAGAGCGTTGCAATATTTGTGCAATATGCAATTGTGGTTAGGTCGGATAAATCGGGAAATATCTGTCCCAGAAATTCCAACAGTACCGGCTGATTACTTACAATCTCATAATATTCCTCATATGAAATGACGCCATCCTTGTCCAAATCAAATTTATTGAATATAAACTCGGTCATATCCTGAGAGAAAATGTGCTTATATTGTAAAATGTATTTGAAGTTGTTATTCACTTACCGCTTGCAACTCTTTGACCTCATCGTCATCTTCACCTACAAAGAAATTGTTGATGGCCATGCCAACAGTTTCGCGATTCAGGACGCCAGACGAAGAGGTTGTATACACCTAGAATTTGGTGATCATAAGTTTGGTTTGTGCTTTCCACATAATATCTACATACCTTATATGCAAACTGCATGCGTGTCTCCAAGTTTTTGCTCAGGAACACTGAGAATAACTTCATCCAGGCCTCCGGGCCGATGTAGATAACATCGGCGGTGATATTTAGCAGTATACGTTCTATAAGGGTCATATCGTAGATGCGAAAGAGCACCAGAAATAGATTGTACATTTGCTTCTTTTTCATCTGCTTGGCAGTCGGCCCATTGATCTGCACGAATTTGTAGTAGATAATAAGAAGGCAGACAACTTCAGTGTGGGTAAACTCCGTGGAGGCCGAAAACTGTTTGATCAAACTACTGTAGAGCGTCAGAAATTTTGTATTGGCCATGTCATCCATGGTAGTATCGATGCGATTCATCTTGGCGTCTTGTCTATTATCTAGCTTTCTCTGCAAGATATGATATTTGTTGTTTATTTATTATTTTACTGTGTGCTGTGTTTGTGCTTCAGTGTGTGTAAGTTTTCTTTTCTTTTGTTTTCGAAAATACGTAAATATAATTTGGACTCTTCCTTTTCCAGGCCAACTTAAAATGTTTTACAAAAACTGCCCAATTTTTTACCTAACGACAGAAAATTGTGTTATATTATATAGCATTATATTTTTGTCGAATATCTGTGCTAAAACAACTAGACGAGCGTACCTGACTTTGATCTACGCTGTATTTTGAAAACAGTTGCGAGAACTTTCCCGTTGTAATGAACTCATTGGGATATTTATCTAAAAGTAATGGTTTTAACGACCATTCCATGTGCAGCCACAATATATCGGAAAACAAAAATTAAACAAAATTTTGTTCATTTTTCTTTTTAATAAATCCCCAAACCTCGATCCAGCTAAACAAGCATTTATTTAAAATTTATTTAAACTTGTATTTTAGGATAATTAAGAAAACAAATATAAAGTATGCTATATAGAATCGAATTTATATGCTTTTATATATGACACACATATGCAAAGCGTTTGTATGCGAATAGGCTCTAAATTCAAGTGATGTTTATATCAATAACATATTTAAAGCATATGTTATTATACTGCAGCGTGAGAATTAAAATGAATTTGACGCTCGCAAAAGGTAGGTAAAATGAATTTAAAAAATATTCGCTTGATGAAATGTGAGTTAAAGTCAGATTTCATGTTCATGTTGAGGCCTATAAATGATAAGAAATAATCCACATTCTTTTGGTCTCTTTGTCTGCCTACAAGTATTTTGAGGGTGGTGCCGCTAAGGCGTGGCTGCCGCCTCAAAATAAAACAAAACGTAACGAGCGCAATTTAAAGGCAATAAAAAAGCGAAGCAAAGACATAAAAAATACATCAGAGTCCTTACGCGGTGCTATGTGTGTGGGTGTTGGCATTTTTGTTTTTGAAATAAATATTTCAATGGAAAAATGTTTAAAGCTGTGAGCATGAGAAATGCGAATATAATAATCCACGTCAGGCGCCAAGCAGAAGGCTGCAGAGGAAGCAAAGGACTTCAACTGGAAATCAGCGGAAATGGTCGTGCAGTCATTTTGTTTTTGGGCTAACAAATGTTGCCAGCCTTTCGGGGCTCGGCTCTTGTAATTGTATGCCGCACATGCTGTCATACATGCGGCTTTACAACACAACCACCTCCCCCATACCACCCACTCATGGCTCAACCCCCCGACACGGCAGCATAACAATAAAAAAAAGATTCACGCGCCTTAATGTCGGCAAGTTGACAACACGGAGTGTTAGCGGGTTTACGGCACCACCACAGCGCACAAAACCACAACACACACACACATTTGCACCCACAGTCAGGCAGATATATTAAAGCCAAAGGATTTTTATTGTGCTTGGCTAACAGTTTTGATTGATACATTTTGTGTTTGGCATTTTAAAGGATTTAAATCAGAATTTCTTAGGCATGACAAATTGTTTAGATTTGTGGATTTAAAAATTCGAGAAATGTTTTGCGATAATATTTTCTTTCCCAAGTTAAATGACGTGTTACCATATAATTTACAAAATGTATCCGACTATAATACGTGCCTCTTCAATGCGCGAAGTGCGCACTAGCTTTGGGCTTACCTCAAAACCGAGGAACTCAGGTGTACCTTAATTATGCCATCGGTGGCCAACATATTGCACTCAACCTAATTATGTAAGCTGTGCCAACATTTATATCTATAATATGCATATATATATGTATATATACATATATATATACAACGGCGGTTGTGAATGCATTCATTACATTTATGCGAATATAAACGCACCTGATGCATGGCTTGTGGCAATGTCGGTTAAGTAGCTCATTAACTTCAATACATTCAATCATTTGATTAAAACGCATACACACAAACAATGGAACTCAGTCATATGTACCCTTACCTGATTGACGTTGATTTTGAGTCTGACACAATTGGCTTGGGCTATTACAATCTTAATGATTGCTTAATGTTAAAGCTATTGGGACATAATTTTAAACAAAATGCGATTCTCAATTGCTTGCTTTAATTTTAAAAAAGTCCGATTTCTATTCGGGTTTTAAAACTCAAATTACATTTGTCAACAATTAATGGAAATTATTGCTGGCTTAGAACGATTTGATATTTTGTTTTTCATGCACAAGTCAACTCTATAAGGTCAATTCAGCAATGCGTATACGCTCTGCCTGCCATGAGATTAATTATGCTTAATAATAATCATGCAATGTGTTATTGCCGCAGCTGTGGGTTCAGTTAAGTAAACGTCCTTCTTAATGATCCGGGGTATGCTGTTGTGTGCATCTGTCGACTTTATTGTGGTATTTACAGTTGAAACATTCGTGTGGCCGCCTGCATTATTATGCTCATTGTCAAGGGTGTCTGATGGTATTTCATAGTAAGGCGATGGGCAGCCGAACTGGCGCCGCACAATGATCGCGTGAGGACTGGCATTAGGGCATGTGAATAATTGTAATTCAATTAAAGAGACGAAGTGGAGGCAAGGAAGTCATGGCAAGAAAGACTTGAAATGAAATACAGTAAAAGATTTTCTTAAAAAGTCTTTATAAAACTCTTCCTGGCCATTGAAAACTGCAAATACGGGTTCGAACTTAAGGCTACCATTAAATCAACTTTAATCTTAATTTATTCAATAATCATTATCAATTTCATTACCGTTATCATTATCATTATCATTATCATTATCATTATCATTATCATTATCATTATCATTATCATTATCATTATCATTATCATTATCATTATCATTATCATTATCATTATCATTATCATTATCATTATCATTATCATTATCATTATCATTATCATTATCATTATCATTATCATTATCATTATCATTATCATTATCATTATCATTATCATTATCATTATCATTATCATTATCATTATCATTATCATTATCATTATCATCATTATCATTATCATTATCATTATCATTATCATTATCATTATCATTATCATTATCATAATCATAATCATAATCATAATCATAATCATAATCATTATCATTATCATTATCATTATCATTATCATTATCATTATCATTATCATTATCATTATCATTATCATTATCATTATCATTATCATTATCATTATCATTATCATTATCATTATCATTATCATTATCATTATCATTATCATTATCATTATCATTATCATTATCATTATCATTATCATTATCATTATCATTATCATTATCATTATCATTATCATTATCCATAATACTATTTAGTTACTTGTCTATCCCTGAATATTTATTGAATTCAAATATAACTGTAATTATATAAATTCAAATTATTATTTTTATTATTCAGAATATTACTTAGTTTCTTATCTAATTCTAAATGAAACGCAATGTTTAAATTTCCTTTATTCTTGGCACTGGTTATTGTTTCTTCTCGGTTTTCTATTATCTACGCTCAATAAACGTGTTTCGAATTGTGTGTTTATTTACAATTGCTTTCATTGATTTGCATCGGATAGGTTTGAATCGATTGAACGATTACCGCACTTAAATGCACAATGTTTAATTAATCCTCTTGAGCGTGACAAAAGCCTCTACTTAGGAAGTAGTTCTATAGCTATCAATAGCCAGTTGAGTTTGTAAAGCAAACAAGCAATTTGGCTCGAGATACAATGCAAACTGTGCGGAAAAGTCAAACTCAACTTTAGTGAGCTGCAATTTTCGATTAAAATTCCAGTTGGCGATTCAATTAAACACTAATTAAAAGACATTTTTCCGCAGCTCTCAGCTTGCAGCTTTCAGTTAGCAGCCCTTTGATAAGTCCCCTTTGCCTGTCTCAGGTCTCAGTCAGACACACGCCCATTGGACAGCTCAGCCTGTCAGCTCGGCAAAGGACTGTGGGCGCTGAAAAGACTGCCAACAGCAAGTCGACAAATGTGCTGCACCAGTGATAGACGTCCTATGGGTCGGTGTGATACAATAAATGTCATAAGGGCAGCACAAAAAAAAAACTAAATCAAAGGCAAAGTTTTTTTCTGCATTTTGCTTAGCTCTGCTTTTCGTGCGACCATTTTTTCCGCTGGCTCTGTGAGTGCGTTAATTTTTTGTCCAAGTCCGGACCGAGAGGAAATTCGTTTTTCCTTTTACCTTGTGCCGTTCAAAGTAAATGTTTTTCCTGCACTGGGAGAATTTCGTGGATAATGTCAACGCTTAAATAGGACCAACCCTTAATAATGTATATTTAGTGGTTTCAAAGGGAAATTAAGTAAAGCCTATTGCGCTAATAGAACTGGATTAATCTCTCTCTCTCTCTTGCGTGGGAAGCCAGGAAAAATTGCTGCTAACGGATAGATATTTCTAAAGTATTGAGAATACTTTTCATATTTAATTTAATTTTATATTTATTTAGTTTTATATATATTGAATTTTACAATATTTGATGCTCCCTTCTTTCTCTTTAAAACGTTTTACACCACAGCCTGTACACTTTGCGGATTATACATGTTCTCTCGTAATGTACTTTTGCAAAGCAATATTAGTTATTCCTTTTTTTTAAGGGTCTCCACTTTTGTTATTTTTAAGCTGTGATCTTAAGTTTCCGCAGCTTCTGCCAATCACTTGTCCAGCGTTCGAAGCGTGTCAGGAACATTGCCTAATTATAAATGTTTTATAAGTAAATTATCCAAGCGCGTAATTTTGTGCAGTCTCTCTGCATTGAATGATGCCTGACGCTGGCAAGGACACGGCACAATTTTCCGGTTGCTTGGGTGCATCAAAGCATCGCCGTGACAGGGTTGTCATGGCCAGCCAAGTACAAAATATCGAATGACACGCTGTCGGTAAACTACTTAATTGCATATATATCTAATTAGCAAACTTTTCGCGCGTCTGTAACTTTATAATGATGCAGCGCGCCTGTGGCCAGTAGCTGTCAGAGTTGCCAACGTTCTCCTGTTGGTTGCAGGCAGCATTGCTTTGCATATAATTAATTTGTCGCTAAACCAGAAGCAAATACGATTGATATTTATGATACGCAAGGGGGGCATTAACAAATTATTTGCTGACCATCATGGAAGGGGCTTGATAATGCGAACATGGCAAAAGTTATGGCTGACTGATGCCATAAGCGGATTTGCCCTGGAAAATTCATTAAATTAATTTTTATTGAAAAAAAAAAAATACAAGGGGGATAGAAATGTAAAGCCAAGACACAAATAATAATGGCCAAAACGCGTACGTGATCGAAGCCAAAAACGGAAGCGGGTCAACCCATACGAGCGCCCGGCTCAATTCGCATAAATTTCGACTAATTACAATTTCAGTGTCCGGTGCACACAATCAATGGGAAAACCATAACAATTACAAATACAAATAAAGGGAAAGCTGAGAAAAAAAGAGAGAGGCTAGCCACACACACACAGCGAGAACAGATGACGGTTATGGCCAGTGCTCCTAATGGCTGGACGTGAGCTGAGGGCTAAGAGTGCGGTGGCATGCTTGGTTTGGCCATTTTGTGGTCATGGCCTGGCCAATAACAACCGCAACAACTACAACAACACAAACAGCTGCGAGGGTGCATTGATGCGTTTTGGCCCGGCGCGTCTTTTGTATTTGTGTTTGTGCTTTTGGCTTTGTGCCCGTTAAACCCAGTTGGCCGTTCACAGTGAAAACTCATTAATTTATTCTTCTCTTCGTTTGTTGAACTTAAAATAACAGCGTTAATCCGCTTAGCGCCGCCATTGACTAAAAACAACGACAACAACTACAAAAAGCAAGAGTGCTTTAGTCAGTGCAGCTCGACAAGGAGATGCCCTTCACATGCTACAGGAGTGTCTACATTTGGTGTCTCTAGCTCTTATAAGTTCTCAATAAGTCCAAAGACAGAATATCTCTATCGATTCTTGTCGATTTCAAGTAATATATAATATATATGAAGCAAACTTGATCTGACGTTAAAAAAAAATACTCTTGAAATGTCAAGACTCTGAAGGTTCATCTAAATGGACAGACACGATTCGCCTGTTGATGCTGATCAATAATATTAGTATATAAAGTATATTCTTATTTGGGGTCAAAGAAGCCTTTTTCTGTTTGTTACAGGACACATTATACCCTACCGAGAATTTTCCGTGTGTTCAGGGTGTAACAATGGAAAGCTCACTTGACGCCAGGCTTGGCGCTCGTTGACTGAAAACACATGCAGCTTGACCAGGGGGTTGGGGCTTCCCTGCTGCGGTTTACATTGCCATGATATCCAACTGAATCCGAATGCTGACAATGACTATGACGAGGCGCAGCAAACAAAATGAATTAAGGAAACCGCAATGACATAGTTACAGTAGCACAACGCGCCAACCAGCCGAATACATATGTATGCACATACACATCCCTATATAGATGTACATATATATACAGTCAGGGAGCCCACGTTGTTATCCGTTTATGTCTCGCTGCTTGGTTGGATGAACGACTTGCACTTGGCCATAAAGTCACAGCACAAAAGCCAGACGCCATGGGCGGCTCTTGACTAGATTGGAATTTGGGCCATGTATTGTGTATATGTATATATAGCGAGTATATGCATCCTTTGGCGAGCATACTTTAGGTAGAAAAGTTTTTCAACTTGGCTTGAACTTTTGGCAATGACAGGTCAAAACTTGGCGACCATAAAGTCAACTGCTGACCTTTGCTTCACTGACCATTCAACAAAATTGCACACTGAGAAGGTTTCTTATGTTTCTAATTGTATAAAAGTAATTGTGGGCCGAAATAAATGACCCGGAACCACATAACATTTGAGTGCCTGATAGAAAATATTAATTTTCTGATTTTAAAATATAATTTTCAGTCTTTCTGTATAGTATTAGGAAAAAACTATGTAGGTAACTAATGGTTAGCTCGGTGCTTTTGTTATTTTTGGATTCGGTATCTGAATGGTTAAGAATATGAAGAAGATAAAAAGTAAAACACATTTTTTATCAATATAACCTACTTATACATATAACCTATACGCTAATTAAGAAGAAATAAACAAAAACATTTAAATACAAAACAACTATGAGATTGAAAGTCTTCCACAAATTATGGTTCAATAATTGCTTCGATAAACGATAAAAGCGCTTTCTAAACGCTAGGTGGCAGCTCTGTTTGCAGCCAAAATAAGTGGTTCGCTTTAAGCGAAAAGTTTTCAGTTTTCCAATTAATATTAAATAGAAAGTGAAGGATTGCTCACAATGTCGAGTAAGTGCATATAGAAAAAAATTCAAAACAATTCGGTTAAACTCGTAACTAAATCAACAGCAAAAGCCACAAAGAGCGTCAGCGTAAATGTAACCATTGCTAGCACGTCCGCTGCCAAAGCAGCCGATGTCCAGGTTCCGGAGACACCAACTTTTAGCCAGACTTATGCCACGTTGCGCGTGTGCCTGAGATATGGTGATAGCAGCGCCAACATCTTTGGTCGCTTGATCAAGGTCTTGGAGGCAAGCGATTTAATACACATTCTGAAAATGCTGCCCGATGAGGAGCTGGAGCGTTTGATGCCCATGCTGGGTCAGCGTTTGACGCGGCTGCGTCTGGAGATGGCCGAAATACCGCAGCTGTACAGCCTCTGTCGAAAAATGGGCGTACCGGAGCTTCTGCAAGTGCGCAACTGTGAAGTTGCGCAAAGCAAGCCAAAGCCGAACGCCACCAGCTCCAGCATCAACAGCAGCGGCATTAGTTCCATCTGTCATCTGCAGTTGCTGGGCAAGCTGCTGCCGCGGCTGGAGCTGCTCAATGTGCACGCCGCCGTTATGCCACCCTTTCCGAACAATTTGCGTCATCTACGCGCGCTGCTGCTGCGCCAGAATCCCTCGCAGGCAGTACTGGATCAGATCTGTGCCAATTGTCCGCAGCTACAGCAGCTTTTTTTGCGTAACGAGACGCACGCCTCGCTGGACGTGACAAACATTTTGAAATGTTTTCAGTTGAAGGAGCTGCAGCTGCCGCTGATGCTGCACTCGCCGCTGACCGTCTGCCATTTGGCGCATCTGGAGCATTTGTCGCTGCAGCGTATGCAACTCTGGCCGGGCATGGACTGGCTGCCCATTGTCAGAGATATCATCAACGCCAAGCGCTATGAGCTGCGCACTCTGAAATTTGATGGCAGTTGGCTCACCACACCGCTGGATCTATCGGTGCTGCAGCTAAAGTACTGCTGGGCTCTTCGGGAGCTGCTGCTGAGCAACTGCAAGCTAGCGGATCAGACGCCGCAACCGGAGCTGCCGCTCAGTTGTCAGCGTTTTGGGCTGAGAGGCTGCACGCTGAGTCGGCTGCTGCGCTATTTGAAAAACAATGCACAGCTGCAGGTACTCGAGTTTTTTGAGTGCCAGCTAGTTGCCGGCAGTGGTCAATTGTTGCAGCATATGCTCAAGCAGCGCCAGAGCCTGCCAACAGTGATGCCGCTGCAGCTGCGCTTTAGCCACTCGACGCCTTTGCGTGCGGAGCTCACGAGCTGGACTCCACGAAGGCGGCAGCACTATGAGAAATGGCTGCAGGTGCAGGAACTGGATGAACATGAGCCCACCTGGAAGCAGCCGATTGGCACAATTAGCATGACATTCGGCAAGCCACTTAACTATACGCCCGATATAGATCTAGGCAGCGTTGGCCAAAACCCAATACCGTTGACCTACAAACATTTGAATGCTGCGCATAACGAAACTCTGGGATGACTTTTAAACATTTTTGGTTTTTGTATTTCTATTTATTTTTGTTGAACTGCGAAACTATATAATAATATAATTGCTTTTTATATTCAGATTATGTTTTAAGTTTGATTTTTATATTTTTAATTTCTAAAATTTAGAGGGACGTTGAAAATGTTTAGTTTTAAATTAATCTATATATCATACTAAAAGCTTAGCGTTAGTTGTTTTTTGACCGAATTATATAAGTTTAGGCTCGGAAGTAGATATGGGTTTTCAAAGCCCGATCCGTGTCGAGAATGAAGAATGAACTTAAAAAAAGCAAGACGCGCATTTTATTTTGAACATCCCGAACATTTGTATTTGTTTATTTGTTCTCTTCTACAATTTTGTATAAAGCTAGTTTAAATTAGTTTGTATATAATTTGTGTAAACGCTTATCAAAATTAGTATTTATTCTAATTGGTTTAATTTAGTTTTTAAGTTTTATACAAATTATGACACCCAAAATTGATTCCACAGAGTTGGGACTTTAAATATCAGAAATAGCTCAACAAAGTGAAAGCCACATGGAACATGTTTAAAATCGTTATGTTTATATGAATATCGCTTATTCAGTCTTGTCAATTGTATGTTCTTCGAAAGTCTCGGAAACTGGTTTAATGTAATTTTCTGGGTTTCCTACGAGTGGTTCGAAAATGTCCTGTCCTCTTTCTCGATGAGCGTAATTTTGTTTGTTGTTTGGTGGACCAAAAGCAAGCGTGAAATACCACACCCCTTCGGGCCACATAAGACAATCGAAATTCGATAACATTAAAGGAGGGACAAGCCAAGCCCTCTGGCAACGATTGGGTCAACAATGAAGTTGCAAACCAAATCAACTGCACGGTGACCGGACCCGGCGAGAACTGCCAGCTTTTGAAATCCGATGACAGACTAGATGGAAAAAGGAGAAAAAATACATATAAGAATATTGGGGGAAAAAAAAAACAAATAAAAAACAATGCCCCGAATGCATGCTAAATAGAGGATTTAGGTAAATGGATTTCTAGGCATTTTCGCATTTGCCCGGGAAATTGAATATAAAGTGTGTGTCAGTAAGGGTGTTTGTGTGCGTCTGTGTGTGGTTGGATGTCCCTTTTGTCTTTTGTGTTCACTATGTGTGTGTTTATATTGGTGCTTATGTGAGTGTGCGTGTGGGTGTATGTGTGTTGGTGACCAACGTTAATAGCCAAAGTTTAGGCAAAGATTTCATTTTATTATGTGGAAATTTATTAAAGCCTTTGGGCCAGGAAGAGGGATTTTAATCGCTTTGCTCACAACACTCATGCCCAATGCCAGAGTAGAGGCTGTTGTTCTTGTTGTAGCTGCTGCTGATGGTGTTTGTGGTGGTGGTGGTGTTGGCAGTTGGCATCATTTCCCTGCGTCCTTGAGCCCTGGAAATGGAATAATTGGATATTCTTGTTACTTCTGCTGCTGCTCAATTCTCGGCAACAGATCGAACAGCTCTGGCTGCGGGTCAAGCTGCTGACGATGACGTTGATGTTGTTAGCTTTTCAAAATGCTTTAAGTAAGTTTAATGGCTTCCTAAGCTGCTGCACAAGGGCTACAAAGTATCTGGCACAACATGCAGCGCTTTTCACAATGCAAAGAAAAACGAATTTTCACTCAGTTTGTGTTGTGAAAAGAAAAATATAGTATTATAAAAATTGAATTCACTTTCAAGAATTATTCTGCTCTTAAAAATAGGTTGTTGTTTGTTATACAATATAATTTAGGAATATTTATAACAGAACAAATGTTTAGCTTTATTTATCTTGCTTTTGGGCTATTCGATGTGAATTTATTTAGATATCAGATATGCTAGTTAATAGACAGGATCATACGTTATTCTTTGTCTAATTAATGAGTTATTTAAGTATAGGCAACAACAAAAACCCTATCAAAATAATAATAGAAAAATCAATAAATTATGTAAATATTTAGATATAATATATATAATAAATAATAGCAAACAATATAAATAAGAAATAAAATATAAATAAATTATATAATTATAAGTTTCATTTACTTTTATTATTGCATCAAATTGATATATTATTTAAATTTTACTAATTTATTATTTATTTCTTATTAACGAATTGTTAATGTCGTATAAAAATTGAAAATTGATTGAAGTTGATACTAATCAAACATCTCTTTCAATTTTTTTCTTAATTGCTCTAAAAATTTATTTAATTTTTTTTACATTTATTTTTCAACAATTAATAAACTTTGTTTATTGTATTGTATGACCTTAAAAATAATACAGTGCATTTCTTATGACCGGATTACTCTGTCCATAATTAATTCATTTGTGCCACTAAAAGACTTTTCGCAATCAAATCTATCTTAGGCCAAATTTGGGCCAGGCTCAATAAAAACATGCAACCAATTTAGTAACTAGTCGATCAATTCCATTTGTATGCTATTGACATTATTAAGGGTATTCCATGGCAAAGCAGAATAGTTTAAAAGTTACTGATTGTTGTGTTTGTATGCTGTTACCCCTTGCTCTTATTACGCTCCGTTTTCCGCTCTGCCACAAGTATAGGTTGCTGACCAGTTGCTGTGCACAAGAGAGAGAGAGTGAGAGTAAGAGAGAGGGAAGGCACAAATTGACACAGTTGAGGACAACAAGCAACAATTTTCAGATATTTTTCTTTTACTCACTTTACTTAGCTTCCTTGTTTAGCTGTTTTAACTTCCGTTTTTGCTGCTGGCTCTTTCTAGTTTTCATTCCTCATGTCTCCCGTCCCCCATCCTGATTTTTACATGCGCTTTTGCAGTTAACCCAAGGTTCCATCATTCAGTCCCTCGGCCAACATTGTTGGTGACAGTTACCATTGGGCATTAGCGTGGTCTGTAATAAGGATCGTCATCACCCCCATAATCATTGGCCTGTGTAAACCTGCACTTAGCGTGGTCATTTCCCCTGTAGTTGCCGCTGGCCGCAGGAGAACGGGAACTGGACCGCGTGGCCTGGAGAGTAACGACGCCTGCATGTACGGCATATCCTGGCAGTCTGGCGGTCCGACAGTGTATCCTGCCCAGGCGAGCCGGGTATTTCGCCACGAACCGAAATACTCTTGAGCGCAAATGGTGGCGCGCTTTGTGCGGCTTCCGCCTCGTCAGCTAATACCCAAATGGATGTTTAGTGTAAGTCGCCGTCCTTGTCGCTCCCAGAAGGCAGGACCCTTGTCCTTTGTTTTGGGCGTCGCTTCACTGTTGCCGCTGTATTGTCATTTTCTCGTATCCTTTTGCCTTTAGCCGGCTTTTGTGGGACCCGGATTTGGGTCTGGTGCCGGTAACGCAATTATATAGCCTGTTATTGTTGACGTAGCTGAAGCTGTAGTTCGATCGAAGTTGTTGCTCATTTCTGTTTCTGCTTAAAACTTAATGACACTTTCAGTTAATTATCGCGGTGGATTTGCAAAATTAAGCGATTCGGGTATAATTACCAAGGATTATGCAACTGCCTTATTTAGCTTTTCTTTCCCTTTTTTCCTCCTTTTCAGGGTTTTTTTTCTTCATTTCTTTCGCATTGACCGCAGCAGCGATTGGCAGGTTGTGGTTAACAAATCAGATTTTGGAATTACTTAGTGCTTGAGGCAAAGTAAGTGGCGCTTAATGCTTTTTAAAATGTTAAATCAGGGCTTGTTGGACGTTAAATGACAATGTTTGGGTCTAAATAGTAAACAATTTGGGTTGTATTATTTCTGAATACATTGCTCGGATATTACAATAGATTGTTTTAGGATTTTATGATTACATCAATAAGCTGCATAACAAATTTCATCCTTAAAGCTGATTAATAACTTTCGTATTGTGTTTGGCTCAAAATTATACTTTGTTTTTTTTTCGAATAATGACGAATTTAATAAACAAATATTAAAATTTTGAACTAATTGCAAACTTGAAAAGATAACTTCACGGCGGCTTGCTCGACGCGCAGACACATAAGCCACATGGGTAAAGCAAATTAATATTTGACCACCATTTTTCACCACTTAAAGGTTGAATAGACCAAAATCTCTATATTCATATTCACTTTCGAACAAATATCTCAACCGTCTCATAGTTGTTAAACATAGTTTTTGATTGATTTGATTTAATTAAAGTTTCCTATTTAAAGTTGCAACAAGTTTTGGAAGCGGGAAAATATGTACTGCATCTGGATATGACCTAGCACGTTAGCCTGCAATTAATTTGGAATTTTGGTAAATTGCGTGAAGTTTGCGTGTGCGAGAAAACACTTCTAGTACAATACATATATTTTTTTATTTTATTTTTATTAATATTAATGCATAGTTTGTGCGCTCAGGTGCCTTAAATATTTTAACTTTTCTGAGATCTGGCCAGAGACTGAGTCTAACGTTTGCAAATAATTTGTGCGTCGAGCTAAGCGCAAAACCCAAACGCAACCGCACAAAAACTTTTTAGACAACAGTTTCAAAGTATTACAAGTGGTGCAGAAAAACGCAGCATGCATTGGGCAAGGGACGTCGATGGAGCTGAGAGGCGGCTGCCTGTCGGTCGGTAGCGCCAACTTATATTTGCCCACTTAGACAGGGAACGAGTTAAAATTTATAGGTATTTCGCCTAAAATCTCGCAAAGTATAAACCACTTAGGTGCAACGGCGGGGTCGTTGCTAGCGGTAGGGGCGTGGCCGAGGCAAACACTTTGGCATTTTGTCTTGGTAGGACTTTTTTCTTTCTGTTGCCGCGTTGTTGTTGCCGCACTTTGAACACATAAATCAGCCATGAGCAGCGCCAAATGCCAAAACTACCCGTGCCCTAGCAGCTCGCTTGCCTTGGCTCTGTCCAGGTACGTGTGTGCTTGTTTCGTTTTAAAATCAGCAGCAGGCAAAGCAACAGTAACAACAACAACAAATAGCCCATATTACTTGGTGCAACAATTGCAAGTGTTCTGATGCCAGATATAAGCCCCTTACAGCAGTGTCCCGCGCTAGGCAAGCTTCGGCTTC